GACGCACCAGTGTCGCTCTAGAGCACTTAACCGATAGACCACTGAGTCGGCATCCCATGGCATCCCATGCGCACTGCTGCGGAGTCCCATAATAGGACAAAGCGGCCGTCCAGTGCTTCCAGGATTTTCTATGGTGGTCTAGCTTCATTTGACTTATCATCCCAACTACTGAAATTAATAATACTACTAATAATAAATTGAACATTTAATAGAATAAATTCACTTGTTTGAATCTTTTCATTGATGTTTAGGACTGCAACTGGTCAGTCTCTAATTGGCATATGTGCATACTGTGCGTATTGCCTCGATATTGCCTTAATTCAAAAGCATTATAAGCAGAGATGGATAGTGGCTATCAGTGGAATCCAGGACGCGCGTTTCTTTGCATTTGGGACTGATCAGCTGGATGTACCTGCATCTCATAGTCGATGTAAACATCATACTTTCGAACACACAATACTAAGTGAATTCATATTTCACCCCATTGCAGAGGCAAGTGGTTATCAGGACTCAGTAGCTGACTTGATAACGCGGTGGCGTTTGGAGAGAAAGGTACTAGGTTCGAGTCCCAGAGTGAACATCAACTCTGAGATGCAGGTACATCCAGCTGACGAGTGCCAAATAGGATGAAACACCCATCGTGGATTCCACTGCTAGCCATTATTCATCTTTACTTATAATGCTTGTGAATTAAGGCTATATAGGTTTAATTTAGAACGTTAAATCACATTTCATATTAAGTAGGTGATACAATAATTTAATGACCATTTAATTTTAGAAAAAGATTAACAAGTCACTGATTAGAGTTTTCCTGGAAAGATTGTAATCTATGGGATACGGTTGCTGATCACATACCGAATCCTCCTCGTTTACCTATGGATTGAACAGGCAGAAATCCTAGAAGAGATTCAGGCCTCAAAATACACAAGGGAAAAAGTAAGATACTCAAATACTACACTGAGAACATCAGTCCAGTCACATATATGCAAAAACTCCGGAGGTGGTGGAAACATTCACGTATCTGGGTAGCATAATCGAAGAACAAGGAGGATCTGATACTGACGTAAAGGTAGGGATTGAAATAGCAAAGATAGCATTTTTACGATTGGACAATACATGGAACTCAAAATAACTATCAACCAATATCAACATCACAATCTTCAATATGAACATCCAGACTGTTCTACTGTACAGAGCTGAAACGTGGAGAATTAAAACAATCATCATCAAGAAGGCAGAAGTATCTATAAACAACTTTTTTACGCAAGATACCCATTACCCATTGATCGGGTACTGTGGGAGAGAACACACCAGGTTACAGCTGATGAGGATATAAGGAAAAGGCGTTGCAGGTGGATAGGATACACATTGAGGAAATCATCAAACTGCATCATGAGGCAAGCCATAACTTGTAATTCTGAATGGAAACAGAAGAGAGGAATGACAAAGTACACACTACGTCGGGAAATAGAAGCAGGTATGAAATGAATGAATGCTAACTGGAAACAAATGGGAAGGATTGATCTAGATAAAATTGGATATAGAGTTCTTGTAAGTGACCTATGCTTCTCCACGAGGAATAACAGAAGTAAGTAAGCAAGCCACTGATTAACTCCGACTAAATTATTTCTAATTCTTTACAATTTGAAAGAAACACTAAAACAAACATAACAAAGTTAATCGGATAAATTTACATTTTACAACTAAAATGACAATAAAAATTACTAGTAGTAGATTAATTAGTAGACGAGTGAGAAAATTAAAAAAAAAACAACAAAGAAATCAAAAAATCATTGTATAAATAATTTGTTTGGCGCCTAACAGTTAATTATGAGGTCTATAGATGGACTATTTAATCTATTAGACAAATAATAAAAGTTCTGCTTTAAAATAGAACGAAAAAAACAGAAAGACGAAAACAGAAGTTGGTAAACGATTAAATTGGAAAGTAGTTTTATTGTGAATGATAATGCTAACTCATATATATACACACGTATCATTTCATGGCTACAAACATTCTACAATCAATACAACACTCCCTAGTTTCATCAACACAAAGACATTCGAATTTTAAAAGGGAGGATTGTGCAAGTATGAATATGTTGTATTACTTACTTACTTACCTACTTACGTCTGTTACTCCCAGTGGAGCATAGGCAGCCGATCAGCATTCTCCAACACACTCTGTCCTGGGCCTTCCTTTATAGTTCTATCCAATTTTTGTTCGCTCATCTCATGTCTGTCTCAAGTTCTCTGCGTAATGTGTTTTTTGATCTTCCTCTTTTCCTTTGGTCTTCAGGATTCCATATGAGGGCTTGTCTTGTGACTCAATTGGGTGATTTTCTCAAAGTGTGCCCAATACACTTCCAGCGCTTCTTGCTACTCTGGAACCTGGTTTGTCGTCTTTCACAGTAACTTGTTGCTGATAGTGTCTGGCTAACGGATCCGAAGTATCTTGCGTAGACAACTGGTAATAAACACTTGTATCTTCTAGATGATGGCTTTCGTAGTTCTTCACGTCTCCTCTCCATACAGCAGAACTGTTTTGACTTTTGTATTGAAAATTCTGATCTTGGTGTTGGTTGACAATTATTTTGAGTTCCAGATGTTCTTCAGTTGTAAATATGCTGCTCTTCGTTTGCCGATCCTCGCTCTCACATCTGCATCTGATCCACCGTGTTCATCAATGATGTAGCCCAGATATGTAAAGGTTTTTACATCCTCCAATGCTTCGCCGTCAAGTGTAATTCGATTGGTACATGTTGTATTGTATCGGAGAGTCGTTCTTTTCTCTTTGTTTATATCGAGACCTACAGCTGCTGAGGCTGCTGCTACACTGGTCGTTTTCTCCTGCATTTGTTGTTGCGTTTGTGATAGAAGAGCCAGATAATCTGCAAAGTCTAAATCGTCAAGTTGCATCCTACCTGTCCACTGTATTCTGTGCTTTCCTCTAAATGTTGACATCTTTATGATCCAGTCGATCACCAGGAGAAAGAGAAAGGGTGAGAGTAATTATCTTTGCCTAACACCGGTCTTTACCACGAGTGAGTCGGTGAGTTGTCCTTCATGGACGATTTGGCGGTTTAATTCATCATAGGAGTTCCGTATGATATTGACTATCTTCACAGGCACGCCGTAGGAATATGTGGTATATTATACTAACATCAGCCTACAAATCTTGTGAAGATTGTTCAGATTTTACATTTCACACCACCGATTGATCTTAGTTAGACCATCAAATAACTGTTTCATCATATCACAGATTTATTCACAAGTTCACACTCACAATATCATCCAATCACTCACACTCAACCATTTCACTTTCACACTATACAGTTCATATATGATCGTCTACATGTTTAACTTCATCGAGATGTGATAATATGAGAACATTTCCAATCACATACATATGGTCGATAACTATCCATCTCACATCGGTCATTGTTGAATTCCTCTGGTCTCAACTACTACTCAAAACTCGTTCAAACACATCTACAGCTTAATCACTAATCAATGTAAGAATATCATCATAATTACTATTATTGTAGTTGTTTGGTGAGTATTTTGACGTTTGTGTGGATTTCATTCACATTACTGTTGTATGTCGATTAGATGGTTATTGTCGAGTAGTGCGCTGCTATGACGAATGAGATGTTCGATGCTTCCTTTTGTTCGATAGTTATCCAGCTAAGATCATTCCTGTATGTAAAATATGAAAATATCCATATAACTCGATAATACAATGGAATTATAATCATTATAAATGAACTAATATTAAGCTAAAAACCCAGTTTCTAGAAAAGTATATTCATTTTAATCAAATTTGTTACTCATATACAAAAGCAAGTAGTTTTTCTTCAAGCTACTGATGTAGTCTTCTAATTATCAGAAGGGGTTTTGTGGAGAATTGGTATTTTCATAGTTGAAAGCATGAGTCAATTGAAGCTAGACCGCCAGGGTAAACCTGGAAGCACTGGACGGCCAACTAGTCCTATTATGGGACTCTTCAGCAGTAAGCATCGACGACCCCGCACTCGCAATATTCGAACCTAGGACCTACCAGTCTCACTCCAGAGCACTTAACCGAGTGCGGGATCGTAGATATACACTTCTGTGGAGTCCCATAATGAGACTAAACTGCCGTGCAATCCTTCCAGGTTTTCCATTGGTGATTTAGCTTCAATTGACTCATCATCTCAATTACAAAAAATAATGAAATCATTTTTATTAACAACTCATTAGCTGCATATCTCTGAATTCAAGTTAATGTTCACTTTGTAACTCGAATCCAGTACCGTTCACTTCAATAAGAAGATCCAATTGATCAACATAACAACATACATATAATTAAGTCATCATTTTATTTGTACAATTATGTAATCATAATATTAATAATCTTTTTATATAATAAAAATAATTTAAAAATCATAAATATTATTATTACCAATGATTATTTTTATTTAATAAATTCTGATTGGTTAAAAATGAAGAGGATAACCCACGCTTAAGAGACAAAAAAGATATTTCCCCTTATATTATTTCACATGTACATTCTTCTATATATATAAATATACAAGTATATGCCAGTTAACTCAATCATCTATATTCTACATTAACATTATTTTTATACCAAAAAAATTTTTTTTAGATTTTTTCACCGAAAAAAACAACAAAAAAAACAAAAAAAAATTAAAAAAAATAAAAAAAATAATCTGTCATATTTACCCATCTCTTATGAACTATTGAATATATATATATATATACACATCTAACAACTGTGACAGAGTATTTAAACCATAGAAACACAACAGTTACCATTCAATCTAATTGAATAATTAAGTAGTATAAATTAAATCATTCTCATTTCTTTATTATTATTATTATTACTACTTTTTCGTGTTTTCTTTTCTTTTTTTCATTGTTGTTGTTGTTCTTGTTGCTAAGCACATTATTCCATTTATAGTTTGATTACAGAAATAAAAATAATAAAATTTTAAAAAATGTTCTATCCAAAATCTACAATCATTATATCAAATAAATTAGTTTTAATTATTGGAATTGTTTTAATGTTGAACATTGAAATAAATGGATTAGGTAAGTTAATTTAATTTTTAAAAGGTATTTATTATCATAATTATTATTATTATTAGAAGGGGTTCTTTTTGTGGAGATTTTAATATTTTCATAGTTGAAAGCATGAGTCAATTGAAGCTAGACCACTAATGAAAACCTGAAAGTATTAGACGGTCGTTTCGTCCTATTGTGGGACTCCTCAGTAGTGTGCATCTATGACCTCGCTTCGCGAGGTTATTATAAGTAAAGATGGTTAGTGGTTAACAGGGGAATACAGTTTGGTGCGCGTTTTGACCTATTTGGGACTCATCAGCTGGAAGTACCTGTATTTAAGATTTGATGTTCACTCTGGGACTCCAATCTAGTATCGTTAGCTTGAAACGTCATTACGTTATTCACTCAGCTACTTAGTTCTGATAGTCACTTGCTTGTGCAATGGGGTGAATAAAGTGACTCTAATTTCTTGGTGATTTATATATGTATATATGGATAAAAGTTGATCTGATTGTGTCATATAATATACTTTTATTTCTTTTTTAAAATTACTACAATTTTCAAAAATCCCCATTCTCATAATAAATATCATATGCTCATTAGGGATTCACTTCAAGTGATATTTTTTAAAGTTCTAGTAAGAAGCCGTGACCATTATAGTTCAGTGGTATCTATTGTAGAGGCAGTTATTCACAGAAGACAATGGTGAATGATTGTGTAATATCATGGATTGATTGAAATTAGATATTTACATCGTTAGATACCAACTCCGTAGTCTAGAGTTTAAGCGTTCACGCACGAAACCGGGGGTCCTTAGTTCGAGTCCCTATGTTGCGCGATCGTGGATGTGCACCAGTGAGAAGTCCCATATTAGCATGAAACTGCTGTGCAATCCTCCCACGTTTTCCATAGTGTTCAATCTTTAATCGATTCATGAATTTAACTACTAAAGAATTACTACAATATCCACAAACCCGTATTCTGATATTACTTTCATTTCGTTAAGAAAAAAGTATTCATATTTGAATATGACATAGTTTATTTCACAAAAGAATCAGTTAGGCAAATAAAATGGTAAATATAAATTCAAGAAAAAAAGAAAATATTAAATTACCCATCTATCCGTTAATAATTAGTTGACATTAATAACAATTCACAATTAGATTCCCGAGTTGATCTAAGCTGAGACCTTCATTGAAAACCTGAAAGTACTAGATGGTTGTTTAGTTCTAATATGGAACTTCTCAGATGGTCTAGTTTAGATCGAATCGTGAATTCAACAGTGAAAATATTAATCACTTTACAAGTCCCTATACTGATAACAAATGATAAACATCATTCTATTTGTCACTTAAAAGTATTTTCTCTATCTCTCTTAACAACTATTAACATATAGTTGATTCAATTGACATTACAATTCGGTCTTTAATAATAATGAAGCGAACGAGAACACAAGTGGGAACAATCGAATGTATTTTATTACAAAATTACAGAACATCTTAGAAAAGTCTAAGAACCATACAGTAAATACTAAATTTGCAAAATGTCAATCAATCATCTCACACTTCACTGTTCCTCCATTTCCACACCAATCATTCTCTGTTCTAGTTCTCTTTTCTTCGATCTTCTGAACCTTCTGCCGTCAGGCATTTCACTTTCTATTGATGATACATACTACTTATATCTGTCGACATTAGTAGCACACACTACAAGAAGAGAAGAAAATAAAACGATTTTATCAATTCATTATTAATTCACTTAATCGTTTTTCTTATTTATTTCAGCTTTACAAAATGATGGATTACTATTGAAAGATTTAAAGTTTACAAGACCATGCCCTGAAAAAAACTATCGATTTCATAATGGTAAATAATTTGATTTTGAATTTTTGTGTGGTAAATTTGTAAACGTTTTGAGTTAAAGTGGTAGGGGGGGGGTATATATTATGGAAACTATTGAGTATTTCATTTTGACGAAGCTACCATGTCTATACATACGCAAGTCTTTTTTGACAATTGTAATATCATAATGATAGATTTATAGCTATAGACTTTTAAAGGTAATGTTTGTCGAATATAGTTGTAGTTTGGTTAGATATTTTCAGTAATTGACTATTGTCATTTGTGGTAAGTGTCAAACGTCCAAAAACATTGGTATCACTATTATTATTGGTTGAAGTTAGACATTAACACCGTTGGATGATAGCTGGCTCAGTGGTCTAGAGGTTAAACGTTAGCATACGAGACCGATAGATTCTGTCTTGAAATCCTGTGAGCAGGATCGTGGATGTGCACTGCTGAGGAGCTCCATACTAGGACGAAACAGCGATGCGGTGTTTCTAGTTTCCCCATAGTGGTCTAGCTTTAATTGACTCATGAATTCAACTATAGAACTACTATTACTATTATTATTAATGGTAGTAGTAATGTTATTATCGTTCAGTTCTATATTACCATTCAATAAAATCTTAGTCACTAAAGGTTATTTACGTAAGTATTCTTCAAATTACGTGACTACAATTTACAAAAAAAACATGATAATAGAATTCCGATATTATGTAATTATTATCTAATTACTATTTTGTTTACATTATGCCGATTAACATCTGTTTGTTTGATCATTCTAATAATAGAATTATATGTATGTAAAGTTACCAAACAACAATTTGTAGGCGGAATATTATCCCTTAATGTAATGTGTATTATTTATAGGAAGACAAACAAACAAACAAACAAACAAACATAGAAACAAACCTAAAATGCATATATTCAGTAACTTTGATTAATACAATCATGACAAAAATAACAATAACAATATTGACAATGGAAATAGAAGAACTATATATATATATATATATATATATATATATATATATATATATTTATATTTATATATATATATATATAGAGAGAGAGAGATTAGAGACTGACTAGTTCCAGTCCTAACACATCCATGGGAGGATTCAAAACAAACAATACTTGATGAATTTATATAGATTACTGTTTATTCAATATCAGTTATAATTATCATTGTATATTGGATCGACTCTGAATTCTTTGTATAGGGAAGTAATAGACTAAATTCAACTTAGTATTGTTTGTTTGAATCTTCCCATCGATTTGTTCGGACTGCAAATGGTCAGTCTCTAATTGGCATATGTGCATACTGTGCGTATTGCCTCGATATACCTTAATTCACAAGCATGGTAAGCAGAGATGGATAGTGGCTAGCAGTGGAATCCAGGACGCCCGTTTCGTCCTATTTGGGACTCGTCAGCTGGATGTACCTGCACCTCAGAGTTGATGTTCACTCTGGGACTCGAACCCAGTACCCTCGCTTCAAACGCCATCGCGTTATCCACTCGGCCACTGAGTCCTGATAGCCACTACTTTAGACTACTTTATATATTACACTATTGTATATTAATTGTCATGGTAACAATATTTTAGCCAATATTTAAGCTCAGGATATGAATATAAATACTGACACTTTTGTATACGGTATACAGTTCAATGAACTTGATCAATGTTACGTAATCTTAGAGTTATGTTTATTTTAAATAATGACATATGTATAATATGTGATAGGTAGGCGTAAAATAAAAGAGTTATCATTATATACATCTTTGTAATTATTTCATTGTTTGGATTAGAATAGTACATTATTTCCAATGCTAATTCATATATGTTTTTGATGAAGTATTGTTCTCTGAGCTGGATGGTTTGGTTGTGGAGTTTTCATCGTCCTTTTGAACGATATCATCAGCACAAACTTCGAGTTTCATATAATTCCAGCTTGTATAAATGATAATTAATGATATAGTTTATAACGTTTGTGAAAATCTTTAAAATTTCATATTTTACATACAGGAATGATCTTAGCTGGATAACTATCGAACAACAGGAAGCATCGAACATCTCATTCGTCATAGCAGCGCACTACTCGACAATAACCATCTAATCGACATACAACAGTAATGTGAATGAAATCCACACAAACGTCAAAATACTCACCAAACAACTACAATAATAGTAATTATGATGATATTCTTACATTGATTAGTGATTAAGCTGTAGATGTGTTTGAACGAGTTTTGAGTAGTAGTTGAGACTAGAGGAATTCAACAATGACCGATGTGAGATGGATAGTTATCGACCATATGTATGTGATTGGAAATGTTCTCATATTATCACATCTCGATGAAGTTAAACATGTAGACGATCATATATGAACTGTATAGTGTGAAAGTGAAATGGTTGAGTGTGAGTGATTGGATGATATTGTGAGTGTGAACTTTTGAAGAAATGTGTGATGTGATGAGACAGTCATTTGATAGTTTTTAATTTTCGACGACTGTCTAACTAAGGTCAGTCGATTATGTGAAATGTAAAAACCGAATAATCTTCACAAGATTTTGTATACTGCTATTAGTATAATATATTACATATTCATACTTGCCCAATCCTCCCTTTTAAAATCTTGATAGACTTGTATTGATTAAACTAGGAGGTGTTATATTGATTGTAGAGTGCTTGGAAAACCTGGATGTGCACTCTTGAGGAGTTCCACAATAGAGCAAAGCGACCGTCCAGTACTTCCAGGTTTTCCACAGTGGTCTAGCTCCAACTGACTCATGATTTCAACCATATAAAATTACCATAACCTCCACAAAACTTCCCTTCTAATAATGTACTATTTGATATCACAAAAAAGTAGTATCCACAGTAAAATATACATTCTGATAGTTCAACAGTTCATGAACAATTCTTTTTTATGAATATAAGTAACTTTACATTTTAAATAACAGAAGGAAAACTACTTTCATCAATTTTGATAAAGTTGATAGGCAAATTTTAAAATAGTGACTGAGTTTTAAAGCAAGTCATTGATGAATACTGGTTATGAGCAAACCCGTTTTCCAAGCACCCAATTCTCAATTGTTTAATATATATGTATAAGATGGACTCATTGTTGAAATTGTAATTATATATACTGTTTTCATTAGTAACTGATTTTGCGAGGTGTGTCCAGAAACTCCAGTAAGTAACCATAACTTAATTCTAAAGATATCCAATTTCAAATATAAACATTGTAATGTATCGTTCAACCATAGAGCGAAATAAACCTCACCGTTACATTAGATTGTTATTGTTAGTTATATTTACTGTATTTTTCAGTTCAGTTTTAATATAGTTCGTTAATGGTTTTATATTTTTAATAATATATCACTAAAACAAACCTGATTTATACAAAAAAATATTTGAGGAGTTTAATACTAAGACGAATTAACCATCCAGTGCTTCCAGGTTTTCTATAGCCCCGAAATGCTCTGAAACTGCCGAGAGTGGGGAGAGTCCGCCTCTCCCAGGGAAGTCCTACTCAATGCCTTCTAATGGCATTACTGTTTTTTAGGAAATTGAGATGACAAAAAGCGAATGTCCGGAGCTTTAATCGGGTTGTTGGACACTGCGATTCCACCTAGGGGAGTTGGAAAACTCTCATTCCAGATCAAAGGTAAATATGGGCCCCAATATTATGAGGGAACAAATGGCGTATGAACCAATCGTTGGTCAACGGTTACCACGACACTGCATCTCCTTTTACCGATGTCATATTGTATCTACGCACTTTGATTGAACTTATGCTATAAAAATTCACCTATGAATTCAATAGTTTGTTTTAAATCTTAATCCTAATAATAGTACCTTCTTCCTTTCTTTTTTTTTTGTTTATTATCTCTTAGCTACTGGAAATTTTATGTGCGTTGTACCAACAGCTAAAAAATGTTTTGAATTATGTCAACAATTAAGTTGTAATGAATGGTATTTTATGAGTTTTGTACCATCTGGTAGTGAAGAAATTAAAAAATATCATCGTTGTCGTTGTTTCCCTGAATATCATATGTGTTTTTATAATTCAGTACCAAGAAGATATCGTGATTTTGAATAATTCTTTTTATTATATAATCATTTTGTTTTGTGTGTGTGTGTGTGTCAATGTTAAAAGAATTGAAAGCATTTATCAGTCCAAATGATCAATTAATAATGAAGAAGACTTGGACCGCTTTCATTTTAACTGTGATTTGACTACTATAAAACTTTCATTATATAGATAAATGTGACAATTAATTCTTCATCATTTCATTCCAATAAACTATTATTATTATTATTATTATAAGATTACTTCAAGTTGATCCAAACAAAGTGCAAAATGATTCCTTTCTATATTAGAATACTATACTATTATACATATATGAAGATCTAAATATATACTGTTCAATTGATGATTACCTCTTCTTTTTTTCTATTCATTATCTTCTTTCTTCTTCTTCTTCTTTGTTGTTGTTGTTGTTGTTGTTGTGAATTGTGTTGTGTATTGTTTTATGTGTTTTTCTATTTAAGTAGTATCGAATAAAATGTTCTCAAATAAAGATACATAGATATATATATATGTACGTACATATAAACTTTTCTTTCTTTTCATTGTTCCCTTCAATTTTTATTAATCTATCCATGATTGTGAAGTGTATTCATTTAGATTATTAATGTTTCAATACTAGATATTCTTAATATATATATATATATATAACCTAATGAATACCAAATTGTTGATGAAGGTTACTTATAAGTAGTAGATAATATAATTAATAAACAAATAAAAAAAATATTGAGAAGATATGAAATTTTAAGAAAAATAACAATGAAAGATAATTCACTGCGAAAATTATTGGGTTCGAGTCCCAGAGTGAATATCAACTCTGAGATGCAGGTACATCCAGCTGACGAGTTCAAAATAGGACGAAACGGGCGTCAAACTGGATTCCTCTGCTAACCACCATCCATCTTTGTTTATAATGCTTGTGAATTAAGGCTATATCGAGGTAATATGCATAGTATGTACATATGCCAATAAGGGACTGACTAGTTGTAGTCCTAAACATCAATGGGAAGATTCAAACAAGTAATACTAAGTGAATTTAAACTTCATCCCCATCGCACAAGCAAGTGGCTATTAGGACTCAGTAGTTGAGTGGATAACACGATGACGTTTCAAGGGAAAGTTACTGGGTTCGAGACCCAGATCGAACATCAATTCTGAGATGCAGGTACATCCAGCTGATGAGTCCCAAATAGGACAAAACGCTCGTCAAACTGGAACCCACTGTTAGTCGCTATCCATCTTTGGATTTAAAGATAAATAGTGTTTTTAAATAGATGTGAATAATGAGTAAATACATCTTGGTTACTCAAAAAATAACTAATAACTATTATCTTATTGGATTTCAATCGAATTGCTTGATTAAATTAGATTATTTTCAGATATTATTATTCAGTCAATTTATGTAATATCTGAGCCAAATGTTGATTATTCTTAGTATTAAACTGTTTCATGTGAAATGTTACTATGGTCTCGAACTTATTTAAATCTAATAATGATAGTTGAAAAGCATAATGTTAGGTTGGTGTTGTAGTTGGAAACTAACATTGATATATAATTTTAAAAGTTTCAGATATTTCAACAAGATAGTTGGTAACCTATAAGAACTCAATAATCTCCGCAACCTCATACTGATAATATTGTTCAAATCATTCAGTTGTTTTTCAAATTTACCTTTTAAATTTAAGTCTTGATGATTTTAATTCGTTTAATACTTGACTAGAATGTTCCAACATTATTATGAAAAGCTGTATGTAGATCGAGTTATTGGATGTTCGATTCAACAATGGGTTATCCCAGACTAAATAGAATCGCGAATACGAGCTAAATTGTCACGAAATTATCAAATGTTTCATATTTGAAACTAATAGATAAATGAAATGAATCAATGATGAATTTGTTTTATTTATTTTAATAGCTTCTAGTTTACGACAAGCATTCATTCGAATATATTTCATTAACCATTAGGGGGGGGGTAATTTAACATAATAATTTACAGAAGTATGTATAATTCCTCGGCGTATGCTCCTCCACGGTGGGTAACAAGCACGTTCTAAACAAATCGATGTATAATACCTGATACCATTAGGTATTAAAGATTTATCAAAAATAATAAATAATTATGAGTATGTGAATTTGTGGAGATTATAGTATTTTTTATGTTGAATTCAAGAGTCGATCTAAGCTAGACCATCAGTGAAAACTAGGGTGAATGTGCTGCGCTGAAGAGTTTTACACTAGGACGAAACAGCCGTCCAGTGTTTTTTTTTCAGATTTCCAATGATTGTCTAGCTTAGATCGAATTGTGTATTCAACTGTTAGTAAATAATTATTTATTACATATTATTTCCAAGAGTACTATTCATCCAGTTCGTTTCTGTATTCTAGTAAATATTCTTCATAAATAATTTTACTCAGTTAATTTATTTCTTTAAACACATAAATACTGGTACAAAGGGGTACCAGATATATATGCGCCAAACAAATCTCATTTGATTTGTGTGAGATATGTGATACTACCCAGGTGCCCAAACTGAAGCAGGTGGTTTTCTTAGGGAGCCACACTCACAGCCTTTGAAGTAAAGGTCTGATCTACAAGGAGATGTAGCATCGTGAGGAGATGCAGTCCCATGGTAGTCGGTGACCAACAATTGATTCGTACGCCATTTTTTACCTCAGGATACTGGAGCTAGCCCATGTTCACCATTGGTTTGGAATCAGGGTTTTCCAACTCCGCTAGGTGGACGCGCCGTGTCCACCAACCCGGTTGAAGCGCCGGACATTCGCGTTTCGTCATCTCAATTTCCTAAACAACAGTACTGCCACGAGAAGGCAATGAGTAGGACTTCCCTGGGAGAGGCTATATACACGTGGCCATATGAGAGCATTTCGAGAGGGAGAGCAGAATCTCTCCACTCTCGGTGGTACCAAGGCATCTTGGGGCTATTTTACTCAGTACTAATTAATGAAGTTTTTTAGGATGATAGATGCCATAAATTTGAAATCAAGTATCTTATCGCGTTTAATGAAGAAGTTATTGAAACATCCGGCTTTATTTTTCAGTCGCATTTGGGTTTAGACTAACTGGAAGATGGATATCTGAACAAGTTGTAAATAGTAAACTATTCTTTCCTATCTGTCACCATTGTATCATTCAATATCTCGTAAGATGATTTTTATATTAGATGTATTAGAAAAAAAGATGTAAACTATTATTTGTAGTATTCATAATATTATCAATTGATTTCACTATTGAGATTTGTGGAGATTACTGTATTTTCAAAGTTGAATTCACTAGTCGATCTAAGCTAGATCACTATTGAAAATCTGGAAGCACATGTGCTCACTACCGATTAGCTTCAAGATATGTTTCTTAAAGTTATAGTGGGAAGTTGGGACAGCGAAACTATAATTTCTTGACAAATCAATCACATATAAGATATCAAGTCTCGGATTTTGAAGCAAAATTAACCCATCCATTTGGATAAACAGATTTTTGGCATTAGAGCTGATATCATTTCGTGATGAAAACCTTAATTTTAATTTCTAACCTTGATTATTCACTGTAAATCATAATTCCTCAAGCAGGTTTATAACCCTCGTTTCGTCTTGATTATTAGGTGTACACTCTCAAAGGTCGTCCATAGATTATAGTCTCACCACCATGACCAGTGGAGTCAAGTCAGTGTCGGTTGGAGACAGTTATCCACTTCAGACAAGGAATGAAGGGTTGCGCAAAAACATGAATCAATTTAGGTTAAACATTAACACCGTTGGATACTGGCTCAGTAGTGTAGAGGTCAAGAGTTCAGGCGCGAGATCGAAGATCCTGAGTTCGAATCCCCTTAGCGCGGGATCGTGGATGTGCGCTACTGAAGAGTCTCACAATAAGACGAAATGACCTACCAGGGCCTCCAACATAACCTTACAATTCACTGAAAAACGAATAGATAATATTGATTCCTTTAAAAGTTTTCCTCAACTGTCGAAATCGGTAATCAACCAGGGAGATCAACTGATTGGGAATCAAGATTTAGATTTGTATAGAACAAAGGTTAAGATAAGATGATAAACCATAATGACATCAAGATGTAGAAACCGATCGTATTTAATATAGGAGTATTAATAATCATTTTTGATTGGAAGTAAAACAGAAAATCATTTCTGTAAACATTAAAAATAATAGGGTTAAGTGTAAGATGAAATTAATGTTTAGCAAGAAAGTCTGAAGTAACATCTAGTACATAGGAAATTATTCTCCATTGATGAATTGCTATTAGACTAAATGTCGAGGGAAAGTGGTGAACAGAGATTTCGTTGTGATTGCTTCTGTATACTCAGTGCTTCAACTGTAAATCTTATCAGTAAGCTATGTAGTGATATACTCATCAAGATTGCAGACAAATATTGTGAAAAAATGTTATGTAACAGGAAAAAAACATAAATAGTTTTCTTTTGAATAACTCTCGGAGAGCTATTTGATCACCAATTTCACAAACAATCAGCTCATTTTGGTTTATAAAAGAACTACACAACAAGATATTAGATTAGAAGCGGTTTTGGGGGGAATTCAGTATTTTCATAGTTGAAATCATGAATCAATTGAAGCTGGACCACCGATGGAAAACCTGGAATCACTGAACGATCAACCCGTCTTATTATGGGACTCCTCAGCAGTGCGCATCCGCGGTCTATCGGTTAAGTGCTCTGGCGTGAGACTGGTAGGTCCTGAGTTCGAATCTTGCGGGTGCGGGATCGTGGATGGGCACTGCTGAGTAGTCCCATAATAGGACGAGTTTGCCGTCCAGTGCTTCTTGGTTTTCCATGGTGATCTAGCTTCAATTGACTTATGATTTCAGCTATGAAAAAACAAGATGTTAGTTACTGTCCGATGATTGATTATCCACAGACTATTATTCACCACATTTAGATCAATATGTAGACAACTAATTACATGATTGGATAAAGATACTAAATAGCTTTATCAAAATAAAATGTTAATTGAGTGTTTTCTTTATTCAGTTTTCTTCATAATTGCAGTGAAACATACAAGCATGAGACAAAATCATCATCATATGTTAATGGATTGAAGATATGATTGAGTGTACGCTTTCTTGTGAGTGTGATCATCTAAACTAAATTACAAATTACTACGTTATTTTAAATTCACTTGACATGGTTCGCTTGTATCTTCCTACTATTGTTTAGAACTTCAATTGATCAGTCTCTTGTTGGCATAT